TGGTGAATGTAGAATATCCAAGTGAACCAGAATCATCGTCCGGGGAAAGCTCATCGTCCGAGGAAAGTGACAATCATAAAAAAATGGCAAATGTAAGTGACCAGAGTGAATCGTCTTCGTCATCCGAGGAAAGCGACAATGAGAAAAAAAATAATAAAATAACGCGTTTAGATGAACAAAGTGAATCAGAATCATCACCGTCAGAAGAAAGTGAACAAGAATCATTGTCAGAGGAAAGTGACAATAATAAAAAAATGACGAAAGTAGATAATCAGAGTGAATCGGAATCATCATCTGAGTCAAAGGAAAGTGACAATGAATCGACTTCATCATCCGAGGAAAGTGACAATGATAAAACAAGTAAAAAAATAGCTTGTTTAGCTGAACAGAGTAAACCAGAATCATCATCGTCAGAGGAAGGTGAATCGGAATCATCATCGTCAGAGGATAGTGATAATGATAAAAAAATGGCGAATGCAGATGACCAGAGTGAATCGTCTTCGTCATCAGAGGAAAGTGACAATGATAAAAAAAATAAAAAAATAACTTGTTTAGCTGAACAGAATAAACCAGAATCATCATCGTCAGGGGAAAGTGAATCGGAATCATCATCTGATTCAGGGGAAAGTGGTAATGATAAAAAAATGGCGAGTGTAGGTGACCAGAGTGAATCGTCTTCATCATCCGAGGAAAGTGACGATGATAAAAAAAAAAATAAAATAACTTGTTTAGCTGAACAGAGTAAACCAGAATCATCATCGTCAGAGGAAAGTGAATCGGAATCATCATCTGAGTCAGGGGAAAGTGGTAATGATAAAAAAATGGCGAATGTAGGTGACCAGAGTGAATCGTCTTCGTCATCCGAGGAAAGTGACAGTAGTAAAATAAATAAAAAAATAACGCGTTTAAATAAACAGAATGAACCAGAATCATCATCGTCAGAAGAAAGTGAGTCAGAATCATCATCTGAATCAGAGAAAAGTGGCAATGATAAAAAAATGGCAAATGTAGATGATCAGAGTGAATCGGAATCGTCATCTGAAGGAGATGATGAACATTCTTCATCCGAGGAAAGCGACAAAGACAAAAAAATGGATCAGAGTGATGTTGAATTATCCACTTCAAAAGCGAATGAGAAAAAAATTTTAAATAGCTCGAGT